CTGTCCCTGTCTTCGAGTAGGGACCAGACTGTTGCTGGTACCATGGAGTGGAGGCAGATTATCACCATCTTCTTCAGCACTGAGGGTTCACCCACTGAATCCAGGCCTCAAATTCGTGGTGTTGGAAGAGCATTATGGCAGACACCCATCCCTGGGCTATATACCCCAAGGGGTCCTTGTGTGATTTGAGCCTAGGTGGAATATTGGGAGTCTCCACTCCCATTTGAGAGAGTACTCTCCCTACTTTTCCTGTTACTCAGCACCATGGCCTTGCACCAAGGAGGTATGATATCCTACAATAACAATATTGGGGAGCTCCAGGGAGGAGGAAGAGCATCCTCAGCTTCTTTAAGATATGTAACTATTTAATTCCAGGAGTTATGTAAGAAGGTGCCAGACTCACTAGAAACTCCACTAAAAGAGGTCCAGGAAGCCCCATCCAGACTGCTGGATATCCTTCATAGGTCTAAGTAGAGTGGTGCTTCCTATTAAGGAGACAATCCTTGAATCCACCAAGATACTTTGGTAGGTGTCTGCTCTGGTTCTACTAAGAAGTAGGGTCAAAAGTGGTATTTCATACCTGTGAAAAGGTTGGAGTACCTATTCTGTCTCCCACCTCCCAACTCAATGGTGGTGTTCAGCAGCCACTGAGTGTAGCAGACAGAAAGAAGCCAGGTCTACACTGAATGGGAAAGAAGCAAAGAGACTTGACCTCTCTGGGAGACAGGTATATTCCTTGGCCTCTCTGCAGTTTTGCATCTCAAACTGTCAAAGGTTGATGGCCAAGTACAATTTTGCCATGTATGACAAATTAGCAGGCTTCGCTGATAAGGTGCCTCGGGCTGTTTAGAGGCCTGTTCCAGGCCCTGACTGACAAGGAAAAGCAGGTGACAAAATCGGCCCTTCAGACAGCCTAAGACATGGCAGCTAGGTCTATGCGATTACTATGGTAATGAAATGCTCATCATGGCTCACCTTGGGAATCCTGAAGGAAGTACAAACAGGTGGAGGACCTTCCATTTGAGCATGATCAGCTGTTCAGTGTGAAGTTGGATGAGTCTCTTCACTCATTGAAAGACTCCCAAGCTACACTTTGATCATGGGGTATTTACACATCTGCAATTAAAGGAAAACCCAGTAAGCTGCAGTTTAAACAACCAGTCCCACCAGCTTTTTCTCACCAGCAGCAGTATCAACTGCCATGCAAGCATCAAAGAATGCATAGAAGGGTGCCCAGGGACAATCTTTCTTTTTTCTTTTTACAATCTTTTCCAGCCAGCACTTTGATGGGACCTCTTGAGAGCTGTGCATCAACTGTCTCACCACACCTGATAAACCCTTCTGGTACTTCTCCTCCCTTTGCAGGCCGACTTGCCAACTTCCTATCTGCCTGGACGCAAATCACAATGGACAGATGGGTGCTAGAAGTCATCTCTTCAGGATACACCATCCGGTTCTGGGTGCCATTCAATTTCCCCACCTCCAATGAAAATTTTGATCATGGGTGCATCCCACTTAGTTTGGGGAGCACTTGTGGAAGAGCAGGTTGCTTAAGGGAAGTATCAGGAGTCTATGCTTCACATCATGTTGAAAATGAGAGGAGTCAGACTGGCCTGCAAGAAATTCCTCCCTCACATCCGTGGCAAGTCAGTCCAGGTGTTGTTGGACAGCATAATGGCAGTTTATTATATCAACAAGCAGAGAGAAGCAGCTCTGGTGCAGTCTCATGCAGATTACCCTGACTGATGTCCATTTGTCTGGCATCCAGAACACTCTGAACTACTCTTAAAGCAAACATTTCTCCACAGAATGAGATTGGGATCACTGTACGGGGAGCTGCTCCCCCATCCGTCCAACCCCTGTGCATCTGGACCTCCTGGGTGAGGCTTGGCAGGGGCGTCTGGGTATAGAACACCCTTAGTCCTCCATATCTGAACCCCACCCCATTGAAACTCAGCCCCTCCAATTGGAGCCCCATGCACCCAGACCCCCTGCCTTCAGACTCCCACCCCTGCACCCAGATGACCCCCACTCAGCTCCCTGTACTTAAACCCCCACCCGCTGCACCACCCTGAGCCCCCACATCCAGACCCCATGCCACTGACCCCCAATTAGCTGCACCCTGACCCCCACTCCCACAGCACCCAGACCCCCACACAGACCCCTCCACTGAGCCCCAACCACTTTCACCTGGAAGCCCCTGCAGAGTCCCATTGCTCCTGCACCTGGAACCTCCCCCCCCCCCCGAGCCTCTGTGCATTCAGATCCCCCCACACACCTAGATTACCCACTGAGCTGCCTGCAGAATCCTCTCACCTCACACCTGGATCCCCCCACACTGAGCCCCACGACACTTGGATCCGGCTTGGTTGAGCCTGCTTGCCCCACACCTGGTGCGCCTGGCGCAGAGGATCAGGGCCCCAGGGTGTTTCTGGGGCAGCCCAAGGCCTTGTGCTGTGTCAGGGTAGGGTGCAGCCTCACCACTGAGTCCTTGTCTCTAGGGTGAGGGGGGTGGGGAGGCTGCAGGGTGATCTCCCATCTTTGTGCAGCCAGGGGCCTGTGCTCCCCACTGCCATGCTGGAGCCTCTGCAGTTATTTATTGACAAATAAAATGTGCAGAATTTTAAAATATTGAGCTCAGAATTTTTAATTTTTTGGTGCGGAATGCCCTCGGAGTAAGCTCCCTACGAAGGTAGCATTTTTGGTCACTATCATGTCGGCCAGAAAAATTGGGGAGTTAAGGGTGCTCATGGCAGTTCTCCTTTATACAATCTTCCACAAAGATATGGTAACCATGAAACTTCATCCAAAGGTATATTCTATGGGAATTAATAGACATTAACCAAAGTATTGACTTAGTGGTGTGCTATCCTAAACACCAGTCTAGCAGGGAACTGGTGTGTCACTCACTGGATGTGCATAATGCAACAGAGGGTCCTGTGGCATCTTTAAGACTAACAGAAGTACTTGCATCTGAAGAAGTGAGGTTCTTACCCACGGAAGCTTATGCTCCCAATACTTCTGTTAGTCTTAAAGGTGCCACAGGACCCTCTGTTTCTTTTTACAGATTCAGACTAACATGGCTACCCCTCTGATACTTGGATGTGCATAGATCTCTTGCCTTTTAGCTGTAAAGGACATTTTGAAAGTCTCTTAGGCTCTTTATATCACTTGCAGAATGAATGAAAGGAGGGGCCATTTCCTCCCAGGGGCTGTCAAAATGGATTTTGGGATGCATCCTACTCTGCTACATGATGAACAGTGTCCCTTTGAAGGCAGTGTAAGAGCACATTTGACTAACGCTCAGAAAACATTGGTAACATCCCTTAGAGACATCCTATTACTGATGTCTGCAGAGCAGCAACTTGGAGTTTCATACGCATAGTTCTAGACGCTATGCACTGATGCAAGTAGCTGCCTGTGGTGCTTCTTTGGGCAGCCAGTTCTGCAATCTGTTGCATTATATTGCCCCATGCACCCTCATTGAGAGAGACACTGCTTGTGAATCATGTGAAGTACCCTATGCATAGGGACAATCACTCAAAAAAATATGGGTTACTCATTTTGTAGTAACTTGTTTTTCAAGATGTGTAGTCCTTATGTGTAATGTACTACTCAACCTTTGCCTTCACTGCCTGGTTTTCCCCCAGTGTGAATAGCAGTAGAGAAGGAACTAAGAGGGCAGTGGTCCAGCACCGCCCTTTATCCCCTCAGTGAGGAGAGCGAGGGCACATGCACACACCAGACAGGCACTGCTTGGGCAAAATCTCCAGTCCTGGGCTCATGGAGCGCATGCGCAGCCTGAAGTGCACTACATAGAGGGACAACACATCTTGAGGAATTAAAGTGACCACAACATGAGTAACTCATCCTTTTAATTTTATTAATGATAATTTTTGTTGTGGAGGAAAACTTAAGGCAATATTCAGTTGATTCAATTACAAATGGGAAACATCTGGTAACTACAAATGTCATTACTGGTTGATTATTTTTTGTTGCCATGATTGTTACTTCTACCATCTGAGAAGGAAAAAAAGTCTCAATGTGTAGCATTCAAATAGGAAGTATGTTAATACATTTTGGAGTCTGATAGTTCTCTGCAGCTCTCTGATTTCCTTCTCCCTTATCCCCACTAATGGTGCCATTTTGGGTGTGGTGCTTGAGAAAATGTCTGTGTGAGTGAATGTATTTTTCAAAGTTGGAAGACCTCTTTTCCTTTTTCTCTCTCTTCTCCCCCCAACCCCAAGCTGCAATCAGAGTGAATATTTTGATTGTTTATGCAATTATATTAATTTTAGACAGCTGCTTGGGCATAATTTTAAAGCCTGCCTGAATTTGACTAGACCACAGCCAATCTGAACCCTAGCCCCCAAGTGTGTTGAGTTGTTTTCATACCTGATCCAAATACTAATAGTCAGCTTTGTCGGGTTTGTGTCAGATTGCAAAGGTCTATTCACCAACCCAGACTCCATTTTCTTTACTTTGTTTCCTTCAGTGGAACTGGGGGGGACAAATTACCCACCCTGCTCCAGCCCAGTGAGTCAGTTCCCCACTCCTTTGGGCCACTGCCTCATCCTTCGGTCTTGGCCTGGCTGCTCCCCACATCCTGTATCTGTCATCTATCTCCAGCCACCTTCTGCGCGTGGGGTTGGTGTGGTGACAGCTGAATGCCCCATTCCAGCCAGCCACCATCACTTCACTGCCAGGTCTGTGCTGTGGAGTGAGTGTGCTGACAAGTCTCTGCATTTCTTATTCTGCAGTGTACAAATGCAGGAAGGTGCCAGTGTTGGGCAGGAGTGGGGTATACAATCATCACTGCACCAAAGCCACAAACAGGAGGTGGTGATGAGAGACTACTGGACCTGAGCCCAAAAGTGTCAGGCTGTCTTCAATTCAACCTGAACCCAACACTTGTAGTCAAGTCCCATTGAGTTTGTCAGGTGTTTGTATGTGGTATTGTTGAATGTATTTTAGAAGTATATACTTTTTTTGTTTTACAGAAATGGCTCAGGGATCAATCAGCAGTGTATATGTAACAACGTCCTCAGGTTCCACTTCAGAGGTCACTAGATTTTCTGCCAGGTAAGTTAATACATAAATTAGCTTTAGCCTGTATTCCATGAGCTGTTCTGTCTCTAGTTCTGCTTCAGCTACATGGTACACCTGGTGTATCAGATTTTTTTTTAAGGTAATTCTGAGAGAGGTATTATTTTTGCTATAATTACTGTTATTTCTTACCAGTGCCCATCTACCTCTTGGTGAGCAAATGGACCATCACTTGAAGTAGTACGGCAGCTGCCTCCTTTTGACATCTTCATATAAGTGAATTGTGGTTAATATATGATGAGCTAAGCAGTAACCTGTCACAAACGGGGGAAATAAATTAGCTAGAATAGGATTAGAATAAAATAGTTTAGGTTTTAAGTTTAGAGAAGGACTTTTTTTGCATCACAAAGATACTATCTGGGCAGGATTCTCGTTTGGTCATGGCTTCCTAGCACGAGGTAGGAAGAACTTAATTTCTTTGCTCATTGACAGCAACAGTAGTGGGCAGTTACCCTCTTTATGCACCACTGTAGACATTTACCCGCTCTGAGCTTGCCCATTCCCCCTCTTTCTTGCTCATGTTATGGGTATTAGCTTAGTTTTTGTTGCCTCTTGCAGCAAACATGCTATATTTAAGACACCTATGCAAGAGCTCTAGGTGGCCTTACATTTAATTTTTACAATAGAGTAATACACCAAGCAACATTAAAAAGCAAATATTGAAAAGGGACAAATTAACTCAATGTAGCCAGCAATTAGATACAAAAGTGTCATTTCTAACCCCCATTGTCTCGACGATTGTTCAGCCTTCTCCAAAAGCTCTATCAAATAAATGACTTTTGTTGCACACACAGAAGGTCACCGGATTTGGGTTGTTTTGGACGAAGGAGGGTGAGGGGAGCAAGTTCCAGAGTCCCTTGACTATTTCCATACCTTGATGTCCTTCTACCTACAGGGACCAACCTGAACTGCCCACAGCACCCCCTCACCAACACACACACCCTGTCACTCTCTCCCTCTCTATCTCTTACGGTATGGAATGGACCAGCATGATTGCAATCCCCAGGTTGTGATTCCCTCTTTCAGGACATGTCTTAATTCACTTGCTTTCCACTAGTTGAAAATCCTGTGTTGATAGGATACCTTTTGACAGGGGAAAATTTAAATCTGTAATTCTTTTTCTCTGAAGATACCATTCTGGCAGCTTTCTGTCTCTGTCACCTTACCTCGGAGTTTGAAAGGGGAACTGTTTGTGGGCATGGTACCTGGCTTTATTGCTGTGTTACATTAAAGCACTAAGTTTTCAAATAGTTTTGTTAGTGGATGGACTTATTTTTCTTTTACTGCATGTTCAAGTCAGGATTGGACAGTTCCAAGGGAAATGATTAAGCTTTGGGATGATTCAGATAATCCAGGAAGTTTTTGGAAAGTGTAGGGGACAATTTTCTGGTGCAAGTGCTGGAAGAACCAACTAGGGGCAGAGCTCTTTTTGACCTGCTGCTCACAAACAGGGAAGAATTAGGAGGGGAAGCAAAAGTGGATGGGAACCTGGGAGGCAGTGACCATGAGGTGGTCGAGTTCAGGATCCTGACACAAGGAAGAAAAGCGAGCAGCAGAATATGGACCCTGGACTTCAGAAAAGCGGACTTTGACTCCCTCAGGGAACTGATGGGCAGGATCCCCTGAGAGAGTAACATGAGGGGGAAAGGAGTCCAGGAGAGCTGGCTGTATTTTAAAGAATCCTTATTGAGGTTGCAGGAACAAACCATCCCGATGTGTAGAAAGAATAGTAAATGTGACAGGCGACCAGCTTGGCTTAACAGTGAAATCCTTGCTGATCTTAAACAGAAAAAAGAAGCTTACAAGAAGTGGAAGATTGGACAAATGACCAGGGAGGAATATAAAAAATATTGCTCAGGCATACAGGAGTGAAATCAGGAAGGCCAAATAACACTTGGAGTTGCAGCTAGCAAGAGATGTTAAGAGTAACAAGAAGGGTTTCTACAGGTATGTTAGCAACAAGAAGAAGGTCAGGGAAAGTGTGGGCCCCTTACTGAATGAGGGAGGCAACCTAGTGACAGAGGATGTGGAAAAAGCTTATATACACAATGTTTTTTTGCCTCTGTCTTCATGAACAAAGTCAGCTCCCAGACTACTGCACTGGGCAGCACAGAATGGGGAGGAGGTGACCAGCCTTCTGTGGAGAAAGAAGTGGTTCAGGACTATTTAGAAAAGCTGGACGAGCACATCCGAGCGTGCTAAAGGAGTTGGCGGATGTGATTGCAGAGCCATTGGCCATTATCTTTGAAAACACATAGTGATTGGGGGAGGTCCTGGATGACTGGAAAAAGGCTAATGTAGTGCCCATCTTTAAAAAAGGGAAGGAGGAAGATCAGGGGAACTACAGGCCAGTCAGCCTCAACCTCAGTCCCTGGAAAAATCATGAAGCAGATCCTCAAGGAATCAATTCCGAAGCACTTCGAGGAGAGGAAAGTGATCAGGAACAGTCAGCATGGATTCACCAAGAGCAAGTCATGCCTGACTAACCTAATTGCCTTCTATGACAAGATAAGTGGCTCTGTGGATGAGGGGAAAGCAGTGGACTGGTTATTTCTTGACTTTAGCAAAGCTTTTGATACGGCTTCCCACAGTATTCTTGCCGGCAAGTTAAAGAAGTATGGGTTGGATGAATGGACTATAAGGTGGATAGAAAGCTGGCTAGATTGTCGGACTCAATGGGTAGTGATCAATGGCTCTGTCTAGTTGGCAGCTGGTATCAAGCGGAGTGACCCAAGGGTCGGTCCTGGGGCCGGTTTTGTTCAATATCTTCATTAATGATCTGGAGGATGGCGTGGACCGCACTCTCAGCAAGTTTGCAGATGACACTAAACTGGGAGGAGCGGTAGATACGCTGGTGGGTAGGGATAGGCTACAGAAGGACCTAGACAAATTAGAGGATTGGGCCAAAAGAAATCTGATGAGGTTCAACAAGGACAAGTGCAGAGTCCTGCACTTAGGACGGAAGAATCCCATGCACTGCTACAGACCAGGGATCGAATGGCTATGCAGCAGTTCTGCAGAAAAGGACCCAGGGCTTACAGTGGACGAGAAGCTGGATATGAGTCGACAGTGTGCCCTTGTTGCCAAGAAGGCCAACGGCATTTTGGGCTGTATAAGTAGGGGCATTGCCAGCAGATCGAGGGACGTGATCATTCCCCTCTGTTCAACATTGTGAGGCCTCACCTGGAGTAGTGAGTCCAGTTTTGGGCCCCACACTACAAGAAGGATGTGGAAAAATTGGAAAGAATCCAGCAGAGGGCAACAAAAATGATTAGGGGGCTGGAGCACATGATTTAGGAGGAGAGGCTGAGGACCTGGGATTGTTTAGTCTTCAGAAGAGAAGAATGAGGGGGGATTTGATAACTGCTTTGGAACCTACCTGAAATCAGGTGCCTTGGGGAAGGGGAAGCCCTGTTCTCTCTTGCAGGAAGTTTAGTGTGTGTTCAATGCTCTTGAAAAGCCAGAAAATTAATGAGTTGAAGCCTAGGTTGTCTGGTACTAAATCGCTACCTGAGCAGGATCTGGCTTTGGGAAATGTAGAGAAACTGAACTGATGTAGAGACAAAAGCAATCAGATGTAGATGCTATAATATGACTAATTGCAGAAGCAGCAACTTTAACAAATAAACAACCCAAAACTACATGACAGGGTAGTTCCAGTGTGGATCTTCAGTTACTACCCAGGGCCTCTGATGTACCAAAAACCTGAGGGTGAGTGAAGATCATGCCACATCTGCACCCTTAGGTCTGCCAAGGGACCCTGATGGGTTGTAAGAGTCCTGACTCCCTCTCCTCCTCCGCACCAAAGGTAGGAAAGATGAGATGAGGGGGAGTCACAAGTTGTGCTACAGAGGCATAACCTTTCACTATGCCATATGGTTGCCCAGAACCAATCCCAAACACCTGACTGGATTTTGGGTTCAGCTGAGCACTTCCTAACCCACCAACCACATTGGAATGCACCACCGAGGACAGCAATCAGTGTGGATGCCCTGCCAATTAGCTACAAAAGAATCTACCCACTATTTCAAGTCTTTCAACAAAATATCTCTGTCAAATGTACTCCATTCTCTCGGCACTGGGGAGAGATATTTAATTCCCACATGGGAAATTAATTTATCATCATTCTGTACTTACCAGTTTCTAAGTTCATTTCTTTCACAAGCAAATTGAACTTTTAGTATTGCTACATTTAAAAAAAACAAAAACAGCAATCACATGTCCTGTCTTGGTGTGTTGCAGTGAGGCTGTTTCTGGCACAGACTGCACTTTCTACACTATTGCTGACACATCTGATTTAAAAACAAAACTAAACTCCTGGCTGAAATCCATTTATTGCAGGAGGGGGAACAGGTTGTGTGGGTTTTTATATTATTATTTTGTTTTGTTTTTTGCCCTATGGATCCTGAAGCAACTGCTTTGGTTCTTTTTGCTTGTTTTTAACTTCTACAGTTGGGTTCCTTCTTTTCGGGGTACTTGTGTTCCAACTGCAAACATATGCCATTTTGGCTTTCTCCCTTTTCCTATGCCTTTTCTGAAAGAGACTGCAGAGCATGCAACAAAAAATTGTAGATTTTTGTTTTGTTTTGTTTTAAATCAAAATGACTTTTCTTGTGAGATTCCAGAGCCTCCTATTTTGGCCAAGTCAAAAAATACTACAAATAAGATATTTCAGGCATATTCCAGACATGTAAAAATGCATGTGAATGGTATGAAAATTAAAGTACACAGTATTATATCAAACCATTGAACCTGAGATTATGTTCAAGGATGTCCAGAGTTGCAGTCAGTTCTTTCTTTATGGCTTTGCTCATCCCTACTTATGATTTGGCTAATTGAAAATATGACTCAATTCACTTACAAACATGTTTTCCTTCAAACATTGTTAGAAAATGTTGCTTCATATGTGAATTTGTCATTTCTCAGCTGATATTTTGTTTCCATCAAGTTTGGAAACTATACTACTAAATTGTTTGTATATGTTTTACAAACAATCCTCTTAAAATTCCGCTGCGTCAGATAAGTATTGCCTATATTACTGAAAAACTGAAAAGTTAATGACTTGCCCTCAACTATTCATTGAGTTAGTGGTAGAGCTGGGATTAGAACTGGCTTCTAGTCCCGTGTTCATTGAACTCTAAAGCTGCTGGTATTTTAATTCTTATATGTTTGTGTTACTAATACAATATTAGTAATATTAATGAGTATATAACTTCAGTATTTCACAATTTATATATTTAAAATTTAACTGCTACTTAAAGTATAGGAAAGCCATATTTCTTCTGTGAAATGGTTCTGTACCATTATTATTTGTCATAGATATTGTAATTAAGGTGAACAGCGCAGTGTTCCACATTTCCAGTCTCTTATTTATACCATTTAGATTTGCATCACTCTTATATTTTACCCCTTTATATTCTTAAACATTGAAATACTTTTCACTCTCTTAACAATGATACATTATCCTTACAAGTGTGTATTAATATATCTTTTATTCATATTGCATGAGGGACAGTTGGTAAGTAGTTCATCACTAGTAATCAAGGAGGATGTTAAACAACATTTGTGAGGGATAAATACTTTTAAATGAGCAGGTCTTGATAATTTTCACCCAAGAGTCCTAGAAGAATTGACTGAGGAGATTTGTCTTGTTGATGTTAGATTTTAATATGTGTTGGAATGCAGAAAGGCTGGAATCACAGATGGCTGGAAATGTGCTAATGTATCAATATTCATGAAGGGAAAGCAGCATGACCCTTGGTAATTACAGGCCAGTTAGTCTGACATAATTCCCAGACAAGATAAAGGAAAAGCTGATATGGTACTTAATAAATAGAGAATTAAAGGATAGGAATATAATTAATGCTAGTCAATATGGTTTTATGGAAAATAGGTCTTGTCTAGTAAACTTATTTTCATTTTTTGATGAGCTATAAAAAGTTTAGTTAATAAAGGTAACTAGATTTAATATTCTTAGGCTTTTGTAAGGTGTACCTTGACTTAGTACCACAGAACATTGATTTTTTTTTAAAGTAGCACTGTACAATATCAAGCACATCTTCAATGAATTAGCTGGTAAATTAAGAAGTCTCAGAGTGGCTGTCAATGGGGAATCATTAAATGGGAGCCTGACACTAGACAGAGTGGTAAATAACAAGGACAAGGGAACTCATACTGAGCAATCGGGTGTATTCTACCCTGTGCCACAGTGCAAACTAGAGGGGTGTGAATTGTTGAGTGTCTTAACTGCCCTGTGTAGACCTTGCAGACATGAACCAAAAAGTAATGTTAACGTGCACTGAGTACCTTTTTGTTTGTACCAGTAGGATCTTTGCGGGGCAGTGAGAGTGCAACATATTAGTGCACTCTACAGTTCATACCCCTGTTATTCACGCTAGTTCGATTATTTGGTAAACTGTTTTTTTGTTTTTTTTAATACAGCTGAATGCAAGGTTATATATCTAGAAGTAAATAATGCAGGCTGTACCTACATAATGGGGGGAAATTCCTTACAGGGAGAGACTTGAAGCTCTGTTAAGTTAATCAAAAAGAAGATCGAGATGACTTGATTGTGGATAAGTACCTTCACAGGAAGAAAATACTAGGTACTAATGAACTCTTTAATCTAGGGAAGAAAGGCATAACAAGAACCAATGGCTGAAAGTTAAAGCCAGACAAATTCAAGTGAGAAATAAGGCACATATTTGTAACAGAATGATTAACCATTGTACCAAACTATCAAGGGAAGTGATGAATTCTCTACTTCTTGAAGTCTTTTGCCTGGTCTACACTAGACTAGACACGATAAATCGACCCCCGCTGGATCGATCACTGCCCACCGATCCGGTGGCTAGTATAGACATACCCTTTGAATCGAGACTGGATGCCTTATGGAAAATATGCCTTAGTTTTGATGATATTCTATGGCCTTTATAATTAAGGGTATGAGATTAGATGATTTGATGGTACCTTCTGGCCTTAAAACACTAAACTTATTTGGAGTGAAATCTGGTAAACAGACTTTTGAATCGCTAAAATGTTCTTTGAACAATTTTTCAGTGGTACATTAAACTATAGGAAAAGGTGCAAGTGTCTTCCCTCTCTGATTTGTTTAGCTGTTTTTAACTGTTGCAATTAGCCTTTGAATATGGATTTGCAATCTTGGGAAGGAAACAATTTAAAAAATGTGATTAATAATGAAATATCACACCAGTTACAAAAGTAGGTGGTTGGGGTGCTGAAGAGGAGTAGATAAAACCCTGATGACTCTTTTCCTGGAAATGTTCAAAGTTTCATTAAGAGTTACACTTCAGTTACAAGTAACAGTTTAATTAACATTTCTCTCTTTTTAAAAAACTTAATTTTCTTACTTCAGTGACTTCACCAATGGTGGAGATGGGATGTTAGCAACAAGTTCCAATGGATCGCAGTACAGTGGCTCCAGAGTTGAAACACCAGTCTCTTATGTTGGAGATGATGACGACGAGGATGATGACTTTAATGAAAATGACGATGATGACTGATCCTTTTTGATTGTATACTTTTCAGGAATAAAATTATTCTAGGGAGAGAATGCACTCACGCGCTCTCTCTCTCGCTCTCTCTCTTTCTCAAAATAAATATATATATAATATATATATATATTTTGCCCCGTCCCACAAGGAAAATAATGGTAAGCAGTTCTGAGTTTAGAAATTGCGCCTCAGATAAGCAAATAAGGATGTTTTATGTAGGATATTTTTAAATGTGGTGTGGATGTGTGTTTTGATACCAGTGTGTTAATGCAGAGCCTTTATTATTTGCTCCTTTTTTTTTTTAACTTGAAGGAAAATGCATTTTGCCCCAAATGTTATTGCTGAGTTTGCTAAAGAAAATGTAGCCACATCAATGAAGAAATAAAATGCTAACTTTCAGTAAGAAATGGATATACTGAATGGCCATAAATTTGGAGTGTATTTTGATGACAGCCTTTGTTGCGGGATGGCAAGCTCATGTAGTAGTTGTGGGTTTTGTTTTGTTTTTTTGATAATCATGCAGTGTCCAAAGAACCAAACAAGAGATCCATCTTACTTTTTTACATGTTAAATTCCATAAATGTTGATGTGAATTTATTTTCCCTTAAATAATATCTAACACGATTCCATCAAGTTTATATGCTGTTTTTCACTGTATGTTGGGACATATGAATTACGAAGTTTTTGGCAAATGTTTACTGCCAGCTGATGCAGCTATATAAAATGTCTTGAAGGTTCGGAATGAGTTATTGCTTATGGTAAAAATTGCCTGATTTCTTACAGGCAGACTTTGGAAACTTTTTATTATATAGTTGTTTACATACTTATAAGTCTATCATATAAAGACATGTACTGAAACAAATGTTTGTATTTGTTTCATAAGCATCTTCCTGTAATCTATTATAAAGTTGAAATTAAATATAGAGAATGTTTTAAGTTTTTTAACTCAAAATTGTCAATCATTTTTAATAGTTCATTTTTTATAAAAGGAATTTCAGGGCAGGTGGTAGTCTTTTAAAATTTATTCACAAAACATTTAACTGCACAAATACTGTCAGCTGCCTATCTAAGACAGTAGTCTTTTTATTGAAACACAAATAAACTTTTCTGTAATATTTTATGGAATATAAAAAGACTTTAATTGTTTGACTTGTTTAACCTTGGCACTGTTAGTTTTTATTAATAAAACGCGCATGGGCATTTTTAACAAACTCTGTGTTTTTCTAATTTAGGATTATTCTACCTAGAATTTTTAATCTTATTCAGGGGCTTAGCAGATGTCCCCATGGTCAAGTGGAGGCGCGTTGACCATGAAGAAGAACCCATTGTTTTTAAATGGGTAACGAAACAGATGTCCTGCTTCATCATACCCCAGGATGCATGTGTTCCTTTGCACTACTCATGTGAGCAACAATCCTTCCTTAGCAGCTGAGGCAGCCCCATCCACTTTTGCAAGGAAGAGCAGAAGCCACATCTGTATCTGCACAGCCTATCACAATATTTGAATGGCAGCACAAAGACTGGTGTGTCTCCTGAGTTCTAAAATTCATCAGTTAGGATTGGACTAGAAGAAAACCTGTTGAGGAAGGGAGGACAGATGTGGGAAGAGGAAGGCTAATAGTTGGGGACAAAAAAGATAAAAAGGAAGGGTATAAAGCAGTTCTCAGCTGAGGCTGTGGTAGTGAAAAAAATTAATGAAGCACCTGAGTCTCAAAAGCTACACCCTTTTCCTCATTTCCTGTCTCTGATTGCTTCCACAAAACTGAAAGGAGAGGGTCTGAAATAGAAGCAAGATTGGAGCCAGGGATGAGGAAACTAATCTATTTACACTGCCCCCACTTCAGAAATCCTTCCTAGCAAAGGCAGAAACCAGGAAGTCGAGAATATCCATCCATTGGCTTCTTTTAAATTACTTGTCAGACTTCACTTAATGTGCTCTTCAAGTAGTCACCTGCTCAGAATGGATCCCTTTGGTATATGGGGGAAGGAAAGAAAAAGGGAGAGCAAAAGCATGGAGGAGAATGGATTTGGGGAAGAGGAGAAGGAAAGGAAAGGAACTGGCAGAGTGGAAGCGGGGAGGTAGAGAACTAGAAGAGGAAAAGATACTTGAAAGCTGGGGACTTCACAGGGAGACAGAAGGGAGAATTAATGAGAGGTAGTGGGGAGAGAAAAAAATGGAAAGCAAAACAAACAGACCCCCACTCACCCAGCACCCAAGCTCCTCCACTGACACCCCCACACCCAGACCCCTCCACTGAGCCCCAACCACCTTTACCCAGAAGCCCCTGCAGAGTCCCAATGCCCCTGCATCTGGAACCCCCCACCCACCCCAACGAGCCTCTGTGCTTCCAGAACCCCCCACACCTAGACTCCCCAATGGGCTGCCTGCACCCAGATTGTCCCACACAGAATCCTCTCACTCCCACCTGGATCCCCCACACTTGGATCCTGCCTGGTTGAGCCTGGCGCAGACGGGCAGGGCCCCAGGGTGTTTCTGGGGCAGGCCTTGTGCTGTGTCAGGGTTGGGTGCAGCCTCACCACTGAGTCACTGTCCCCGGGATGTGGGGTAGAGAGGCTGCAGGGTGATCTCCCACCTTCATGCAGCCAGTGGCTTGTGTTCCCCACTGCCATGCTGGACCCTATACGTTCATTTATTGACAAACAGTTGCAGAATTTTAAAATACTGTGCACAGGATTTTTTATTTTTTGGTACAGAATGCCCTCAGGAGTAAAAAATAGATTAGAAAATAGAGTATCTGGGATTAGGAGAAGACAATGATAGGGGAGTAACATGCTGTCTCTCCCCTCATTTGCCTGCTCTTTTTTGTAATATGTCCTGTTGATTACTATGGAAGGGGAGGATAATATTTTGTAAAGTTGCAGTGTGTGTATCTGGAAAGGGTCTACTTCTAAAGTGTGCTTCGGGCGGCATACACAAATTGTTACTGGCTTGTTGGTTTTCTAAAATGACTCATTTTCTGAAGAAGGTACCACCTTTCCCTTTATGGCAATAGAAGTTCAGAGGGCCTTTGCAAATAAAGTGTTTACCAATTCTGGAATCACAAATTGTTTGGTTTCCCCTATAGAATTTTGCCACTCTTTTCAAAAGAAAAAGTGATTTTTCTTTTTTTTTTTTTATTTTTTATTTTTTTTAAAAAAAAATTTCTGGTCCTCTGCAGCCCAGGGTAATTTTTTCAGAGGAAGGTAAATAAGTGAAGTTATGTGGTGCAGTGGACCTTGAAGCTGATCATCTGGCAAATAGTTTAGATGAGATAAGTGTAAGAAAGAAAAATCTTTGAATTTCTGCTATAGATTAATACAAGTAACTTTCATCTGAGTTATGAAACCTTCACCCCAATAGAAAACCTTACTGTGAAATTTGGATGGATTTCTTTTTTTTTTTTAGTGGGCCTCTCTGCCACCATGTGTTAATGCAGCCGCCTTGTTCAAAAAGGGACCTGCACACAAGTCACACAATTAGAATAAACTTCTTGATGGAGGGAGGTGCCTTTCTACCTTGATGGCCCACAATCTTCTAGTGGGTTTTCCTTACTCCCCTAGATTATTGGAAGCAGAGTAGACCTTTTGTCCTGGCTATTGCATGGTACCACTTGCTCTGAGCCTTTTCCAGATTTCTCTGCCTCCAAGAAAGTACAGATAGTAGGCTATACACATCTGTGACAGCTTTTTCAGATACATCTCATTTCTTACTTGTTTGGAAAGTATAAAAGGAATGTCAACTTTTTTTTTTTTAAGTTTGACATGCTTTCTCTCCCCAGTGTTCCTGCTGGGCCAAAGATTGCAGAGAAGGAGAAACCTAAAAGCCAGGAAATTACGCTGTGTATTCAGCACAATTACAACCTGACACAGCGATCCTGGCTTTTCTGCCTTGCCAGAAACCTCAGCAGAATCAGGTTGGGGGTGGGAGGGAGGGGAGATTAGTTCCCAGCAACCCCACAGGAAATTACCCCACTCCCACCTGGTACATGAGCAAAGGCCTCACTAAATTGAGCAAGTAGCAGTGAAATCATCTCTCCCTCTAGCGAAGGCTTTTAAGAAAGAGGAAGCAGTAATGTCAACTTTGACAGTGATGCCAATCCAATTCATTGGTAAGAATGGATTGTTAGGAAGCTTCAATGATATATTTTCTGCTGTAGCACACACTATGTCAGTGGACAGCAAGACTGGAAGACCTTGTGAAGGAAGATGAAGTACTTTCCAGTCCATTAGTAACTAAAGAAGAATCAACAATGAGAGCTTTGTCTCTTCTGTAACACTAAAAGCCACAGTAGGACCTACCACCCAGCAGAGCTGCAGTACTTACAAATAAAACTAACTAATTCATGAATTTGCTCCGGATGCTCTGGAAATGGCCGCAGATGTACTAGGAACCTTGGAAATGCTTCATAAACTTCCAAGACCCATGTCCACTATGTATGCCTTACTGATGAAGAGGAACTCCATTGGTCTGGAGTTCTTTGTAAAAGCATAGGAAGAGGAATGATCACAGCCCTCAAAAGACCCCCAATGGCATAGCCTATTATGGAATGTTAAAAATGCCTTTGTGGATCTGAGGTAACAATGCTTCTGTGGGTCTGATACAGCAAAAGATTTTATTCAAAATGTATCGGATGTCACAGAGTTTGTGCAAGATGGGAGGGGGAGGTTGTACCCTGCTATTTGTTGGTGCTGTAATAGAACAAAAGGAGCTCTAATGCATATGCTATAGGACTTTGGCAGCTGTGGAAAGAGGTAGACACCAGTGACAATTAGTTCTTCGCTTCAGCAGCCAAACTTTAGCTGAAAATTACATCCTAGGTTACGGACCTACTGCACTGTTACACCACAAAGACTTTGATTTTTCAGGGCTACAGTGATTACCAAGCACATGATTTTACAAAAATAGAGTAGTGCTATTTGGAATTGTGTGAGTTAAGAATAAAATAAAGAATAGCTTTTCAATGTACAAGGCAATTATATTAATTCAAAGACATTTGGACCACATTTCTTGATACATTTGAATAAAGAATGCTGAGATGGCTCAAATAATGCCAGACTTCCAGTCCACCTGCCCTCTTTACTTTTTCTTCTCTTCTTGAGCCTCTCTCCCTTAATCCCTCATTCCCTTTTTTGCCTATTTGTTTCTCTTTTTTTTATCCCCAGCCTAACATGTTATGTCTGCGTAATATTGTCTGATTTTTGTATTGTCTGATCTTGCAGCTTTGACAAATTGTAAAGTTGTGTAATTGCATATTTTTATTGGCTATTCTGTGAAATTTGTGGTGTTTGGTAACCTACAAAAGCTGTAAGTCATTTTACCTTTTTGTATTTTTGATTATTTTATGGAAATTAATAAAATATTTACAAAACCTAGGAATATATAGCCTAGATAACTTGCACTCAGGAGTTCTAAAAGAGTTGGCTGAGAAGATCTCTAGACTGCTGATAATTTATCATAGAATACAAGGGAACTGCCAGAAGACTTGTAGAATACTAATATTGGGCCAGTATTTAAAATGGGCAAATGTGATGGGGTAACTATAGGCTAGCTAGCTTGACATCAGTTCTGGGCAAAATAATAGAAAAGCTGATATGGGATTCAGTTGGTAGCGATTTAAAGCAGGGAGTAGTCAATAAGCTGACCACAGACCAAATCCGAACCATCAGATGCTTATTTTTATCATCGTTATTTTTATTATTTTCTCTGAAGTCTGGACCTTGACTGTACCTTGACCAAGAAATTTGGACCTTGACAAAAATAATTGATTACCCCTGGTTTAAAGGATAGGAGTATAATTCATTCCTGAAAACAAGGTATTATGGAAAATTAAATCCAGATCCCTGAGCAACATAGTTATACCAACTTAATCCTCCGTGTAGACAGCGCTATGTCAGTGGGAGAGCTGCTCCTGCCAACATAGCTACTGCCTCTCAGGGAGATGGATTAACTACGCCAATAGGAAAAGCTCTCCCTGTCAGCATAGGAGCGTCTTCACTAAAGTGCTATAGTGACACAATTGTACCAGTGCAGTGTGCTGCTATAGGTGAAAACAAGCCCTTAGACTTTTGTAAGGTGTTGATTATCAACTCAGGGTATTTCTAGTGGGGTTCCACAGGGATCGTTTCTAGGCTTAATGCTATTCATAATCTTCATCTATTAATTGCTGAGTAAATACAAAATCATTGCTAACGAAATTTGTGGAAGACAGAT